CCTGGATTCATATATGAACTGGCACATCACTGGGACTGAAACAGACATTTACGAAACAACAACCGTGAATCAACCATAAAGTTAGCCTTTACTGCTGACTAAGAATGTCTTTGCAACAAATGGAATTTGAATTGTCAATGTTGCTTGTTGTTCTTGCTGGATTCTCAACATACCTTACTACATGTAATGCTTGTGCTGATGGAGATGAAGTCACAACACAAGATGATATTTTTATACAGAAACCAACAAGTCAAAAATTCCAACCAACAAAGGAGGTAAGACTGACTTGTGAACTTGCTAATCTTGATAAGAATTCATCAAGTTGGATATATATTGTTAAAGGTAATGAGACAAAAAAACGATCACAATCTAAAATAGTTTCTCTTAAGCTTGCAACCCACAGAGATAACACAAAAGGACCTTACAAATGCTGTCAACTTAATAATGGATTGTGTACATGCTCAACTCCAGCTCAGATGGTACCAAAAGAAGGACATTATCCGAAATGTACAAGCAATGGCAATAGTAGATGTGTATAAGAGACAGGGATAATGAACTTGGTGTTTGAAAGTAAGATTTGATCAAAACAAGGAACTAAACATACAAGTCATTATCATTCTTTGTTCTAAAAATAAAAGGAGGAAACAACTAAAGTAAACTGTTTTAGTAAAAAAAAATAATTTTAATATTACCATAAATTTTGAAAATTTAAAAAATACGGAATTAAATAGGTAACAAAGTCATTATAATTAATTTTTAATTATTGTTGTTATTTACCTGTTTAATTATTATTTGATTTATCAACTCCACTTGTGCAGCCTAAAAAGTTATACTTCTGGAATACACTTCCACTCCGGATCAAGGCTTCATCCTCCACACACGAATTTAAAACTAATCTTAAAACCTTTTTATTTGAAACTTACTTTACATAATTATTTCCTAACTTTTTACACTTACCTTACTTGGGTCAGCGTCGCTGCCTCGGTGGAGCACGGTAGCGGAGCTTGGTGGAAAATATTGGAGCTCAGCATACCACCTTGTGTAGAGTATCTGCGAATACATGGCTACATAGAGAGAGTGACGCTGACCCAAGTACGGCTCATGTAATTTAATTGATTCTGGTCCTTAAACATTGTTTCGTTTGTCGGTCATATTTTTAAATTCTTGTGGAGGGGCGCCACGAGTGTTTTCTTTAAGCGGATGCCGGCGCTTTAAAAGTTTTATTTCAAAACAAAATTTAATGACAAGAAAGATCGACGTTTCTGGTCCATCATGGAACTATTCTCAAGATGGACCCGAAACGTCGATCTTTCTTGTCATTAAATTTTGTTTTGAAATTATATAGTAAGCGTTTCTTCATTATTATTATCATTATTATTATTATTATTATTATTATTATTATTATTATTATTATTATTATTATTATTATTATTATTATTATATAGTATATATATGATTATTATTATAAGTTACTATCGTAAGTTACTATCATATGATTATGTAGGCCTATAATCCTATATTATTTTAAATAATTATTACCTTTAATATTCTCTAGAGACATTAAATTTTAGAAGTAGGTCCTACCATATAATGAGTAGTGTCGACTCATCAGTTATATACAAACTATAACCATATGACTTTTATATTTTGATTTTTCCTCTGTGGTAAGCTGGGATTAGTTTTGTAACGTTAATTATATCTTTTTGTATATCATATAAATGAATAATGTTCATTTTGAAGTTTATATACATTTTTTTAATGTTTAACACGTTGTCTGCCAGCGACGAGTATACCTCACAGTGTGTTGCTGAGGGCGCCAGGAACGAGTATAATCGTCAAAATCGGGGTAACATTCTAGCGTTTATAACTTCTTTGTTATACATTGTAGAACCACAGACTCAACGGCTGGTAGTTCGGGGAAGATACACCTAGACGATAACGTACATATGACGTATGTATGTTTGTTGTGTTATGTTGCCGATAGTACACTCGAGCGGCACAATTGGGGGCGCCCTTTGAAAATATACCAACCCATGCAAAAAACGGACGAGATAACTCGCACTTGGCATAGTCAATAAAACGTTCTATCACAGTGCCGTCGAGAGTATACTTGCCCCCTAATATGTTCCCGCCAATTTATTAGACACATCATTTTGATGACGTATGACTAGATAAAATTTCAAAAAAGTATGTTTGTACATGTAAACTTGTTTTGGCACACGGGAAGGAACCTTAAAAAAAGGTCTGGCAGTCAACGTGTTAAATTATTCGACTACAATTGTAATTTTGAAATGTTGGCCTAATTGTATATTGGCTCGGAGTGACATTAATCACCATTTTAAAGATTTAAACTGCCCTATCCCTTTGTTACAATGCAGTGGCAAGTTAAGTGATGTTCGCACCCTGACAGGCCACTAAATCTAAACCAAGTGTGAACTCATTTATAATAGAGACTGAAATGGCTAAAGTTTGAAGCTTGTTTTATATTATACGGTAACAAAAAAATAATTATAATACAAAAAAAGAAATGTAGTACATGATGATAACAATAATATTTGGTGTTATATGTACAATTATATTTTAATTAGATAATGACCAGATCTATAAAAATAATAATGATGATGATCTCATTGTAATATACTGGAACCCTACAAAAATGAAGCCAATTTCAAAAAGAAATGTGTATTTTTATATTCAAGCACAATTAAATAAAAATGATTATAAAATAGATTGGTGGGAAAAATAATGATAAATTAATATGTGTGCCCATGACTATTGCGATATACATACATTGGTTCAAGGACTGTTACTGTTACCAGTTAACGGTTATAAATCTTTGATAATATCCATTTCAAATGACTACTATAATTGTCATAATGAATAGTTTGCAATGTACTGATGTATGAATGAGATATAAAATTAATGTGGGAGGATTTCTCTAAAGATAAAAAAAAGTTTGAAGCTTGCATAATAAGGGAACGCCTTTGTAATCTAAAATTCAAGATTTCCCTATATGTAACTCTCAGAAAATCGATGCGGAAAAATTGCAATCGTATAATACTTCAAAATTTGACATAAAAAGAATGACGTGGACAGGGAAAGTATGCCGGCTACGCAGACTATCAATCATCATGCACATCTATATTAAGC